GGACCTGATGGTAAAAAGTATAGGAAGAGTGTTATATATGAACTGAAGCCAAAATGGTGCACATTTTGTAACATTGTGGCGGCATGATACTGACTATTGCAGAAGGCAAAAGGGTAGGAAAATGTGGGTACCTATTAATAGACAGAAGGAAGATGTGCAGGCACATAATGCACAGACTGATACGCACAATGTCCAGGTGCAGGTCACTGATTTAAGCTCAAAGGAAAGTGATGAGCAACAGGTTTTACATATTTCTAGGAATGAATCTGCACTTGAGGCTCATGAGAAAGATAGCATGAGAAATGAAGGAAACAATACACCACAACAAACTATTGAAAACATGCACAAATTAAATGACAAGGGTAAAGCTATTGACAATGGCTCACCTGGCACACAAGGCATAAAGCATGGAAATCCATGTCTTACAAATGTATATCAATCCCCAATAGTGAATGCATCTGGATTCACAAGTGTGAGTAGAGCACATATTGCTAGAAGAGCAACAATCAACATTGCTGTGAATTCAAACCAGAAAACACAATTCTCTCCACTGGATCCTCAGGTATATGATTTTGACCCTTGTTATATGACAGGGGGAACAATAAATGCATTTAGCTATTTGGAGTATTAGAGGATTTAATAAATCCTCTAAGCATTTAATTGTTAAGCAATTCATATATCAGTACAATATTCCCTTTATAGCTCTTCTAGAAACAAAACTAAATGAAGGAAAGATAAAGCATATAGCCAGGAAATTTGCTAGAGACTGGAATTGGATTTTGATGTCCACCAAACTTTCTAACCACTCATTTATTAATAGGATAAATTTTCAAAATCAACCCCTTTACACCTTTATTTGCAAAAAAAGACCCGTTTCTAAAAAAACTCAAAAACCGACCTGGTTTCAGCCCTGGCGCTGAAACCAGGTCGGTTTTTGAAAATTTTTATCCGAAACTTCACGGGAGTTCAACTCCCGTGAAGTTTAGCATATTTTTAAACTTCACGGGAGTTCAACTCCCGTGAAGTCTGTTGTGAGAGAAAAAACTCCACGGGAGTTGAACTCCCGTGGAGTTACAGTCCCCAATTGCCAGAGATCGATTCTCTGGCACTCCACGGGAGTTGAACTCCCGTGGAGTTACAGTCCCCAATTGCCAGAGATCGATTCTCTGGCAATTTTCACTTGCAACTCCACAGGAGTTGAACTCCCGTGGAGTTTTGGCCTGCCTATATAAGGCGTAAGTCCCGTGAACCAATCGATATCTCTCACTTCTCATCCTCAAACGAAAACCCTAGCCCTCTCTCCCTCATCCCCAACCACCACCGCCGCCCAAGGCTCCCACCGCCGGCGCCACCCCCATTTCCGACCGCCTCCGTCGTCAGTCTCCATCCCGCTGGAGTTGATCGCTCTCGTCGTCGTTGTCGCCGGAGTTCACCGCAAATTAGGACATCGACAAATTGAAGGTAAATTCATCTTAATTTTTTTTCTTTATTTCATGTATATTCTCACTATTTCGTGGTGATCTCATGTAAAAAATTAGATTTTAGAAATTAATTGTGGATTGTTTATGATTTTTGTCAAGAAATTTAAATAATTTTGTGGATTTAGAGGGAGAATTGTCAAAAATATAAAAATTAGTGTTACTACATATTTAGGAACATCAATATATGAATTTGGGTAAAATTATGGTTTTCTAAAATTGATATAGGATTTAATGGTAAGTAACAATTAATTTCTAATTTTTTTTGTGTAATATTGATCTTGAATGTTTTACTCTTTAGAGGTAATGATGAATGATCGAATCATAATTTTGTGTTCGTATGATGGGAAGATTAACTACCTCGAAAATAATATGTCTGTTTATGAAGGAGGTGCGACGAGACCGTTGTTTATAACAAAATCGTGTACTTTCGATGAGTTAGTTAATGAATTACACAAACTTATATTAACCAACTCACGTGAATATCACCTCAATGTTATTTGTAATTATCCAGTTGGAAATGAGAATAGAAAAAGCGGCATTCAAATATCAAGTGACTATGATATGAGTCTCATTGGAGTCTTACACGACGAGAAGCGTTCGATCGAATTGTTCATTGAAAAACATCAGAGGAAGTTGGGCAAATCGTTGAATAACAATGGAATGTACTCCTGCATGTTGGAGGACCTTGAAGTTCATTCTGTCGACTTTTTATCTCCTCAACAAGATGAAGGTTGGACACAATCACAATACATGAGCGGTCCTTCGTTTGTGGGCACTTCAAATGCTTTCGATACCAACACAGGAGTTCAAGAAGATAATGCAAGTGTCGAATCCGAGAATAATGATGAAGATGATGGCTTACAAATTAATAGCATGACATTGATAGATCGTGATGAAGGGGACAACCAACACATTGACAGATGTTATACTAATAACGAGTATGTCATCTTAGAGGATCCGCCGCCCGATGAACTTCAAGGAGAAGAATGGATTGATAACTCCATGATGGAAAGTGTTCCTATTGGCACTAATAGTAGTGATAATACATAGGGCGAGGACTTCTCATTCATGAAGGGAGATCTTTATGAAAGTAATGAGAAATTGATCCATGTGCTTCGCTCGTATGCCATTGCAAAAAATGTCAAGTTTAGGCCAACAAAAAATAACACAACAAGCTATAATATGGTTTGTTTTTATCGCAAAGATGGTGAAGACGAAGATCTTGATGGACACCACGACGAGAATGTGAATTGTCCTTGGAAGCTTAATTCACGTTCGGGTGTAAGAGTAGGTGGGCATTTCAAAATCACGGTGTACAACGGACTCCACACATGTAGCAATCCTCGATTGAAGATTAATAATAAGCATGCGTCCTTTTCTTTTATATATCGATTGATTTTACCACATCTAAGAGAGGATCTTGATCTACAGCCGAAAGATATTCGTCTTTTAGTGTATAAATCGATCAACTTGGATGTATTATACAATAAGTGTTGGAATGCTAGGAGGAAGGTGATGATAAAAATATTCGGGGATTGGGACAAATCTTATAAGATCTTATCGCATTATCTTGAAGCACTCAAAAGTGAAAATCCTGGGATTGTATATGAAGTTTTATCAGACCCTCTTGCTGGTGAAGAACGATGATTCACAGGTGTATTCTGGGAATTTGGCCCTTGTAGTGAGGGTTTCTAATATTGTCATCCTCTTCTTAGTATTGATGACACCCACTTATACGGGAAGTACAAAGGCATTTTGCTTGTTGCCACCGGAGTTGATGCAGACGGTGGTTTGTTTCCTTTGGCGTTTATAGTGGTTGATGTTGAAAACACAGAGAATTAGGCGTGGTTTTTTGCATGCATTAGATATCATATCCCTAGTGTGGGGGCGCGGCTGATTACATTCATATCCGATATGATAAAAGTAATTCCAAGAGCACTCCAACGTCATTTCCCATCACCACATGTACATTGTTATTTCTTGCGACATATTAGGGATGACTTCAAGAAGAAGTATGGAAACGGTTAGGTTCAAGATCTTCTTTGGTAAGCTGGCTGTGTAACAGAAAAATTAGTTTATGACCAAATACGAGAGAGGATTAAGTTCATTTCTCGAGCTGCACATGATTGGATTGAAACTAGTTTGGGACCACACAATGTTGATAAGTGGGCTTTATGTGAAGATAGCGAAAGACGGTTCTGTTTGATGACTACGAACGCATCTGAGAGTTTCAATGGTGTGCTCAGGGGAGCACGCAGTATGCCAATACAGTCACTAGTTACTAAAACATTTTACAGACTTAATAAATTCTTTCTCCGACGCCGCACACTTGGTGAAAATATCCGCTCAGAGATCACACCGAAGGTTGATGAAATGCTAGCGACTCGGATTGTGCAAGCTCGATCCTTTCATGTCGTAAGATACAATTTTATTGAATGGGAGGTTATTGAGGGAATATCACATAGAGAAAGTCGCTCTTACAAAGTTAATATGTTAGTGGGTCACACATGTACGTGCACTTGCAATGTACCGCAACTATAATGCATTCCTTGTTCACATGTTGTCACGGCTTGCTCTAATCTACATGGTAGTGCGAGGATTTCACATTATGAATTCGTCGCGGCTTGGTATTCAACTTACAACTATCGACAAACTTACAATGAGTGTTTTCGTCCACCATATGATAGTCAACATTGGGCACAAGACGGGCCACGAATATTACCTCCTTTGTATAAAAGGTCGGTGGGTCACCCTCATTCCGTACGAATTAGAAATTGTATGGATGACGGTTGTGAAGGAGTTATGAGGAGAAATAAGTGCAGTAGATGCGATCAACCAGGCCATAACAAAAACACTTGTCCATCTAGGATTAGGCGTTAATGTTGTAATTTGTAGCGTTTCGTTCTGTGTTTGTTTCAGTATGGCATTTGTGCATGTAATTTGTAGCACATCGTTCTGTGTTTGTTTCCATATGGCATTTGTGCATGTAATTTGTAGCGTTTTGTTCTATGTTATATAAATTTAATGTTTCGTTTCAAGTTATTGCTTTCTCCACATTACACACTCATTTGTTGTTTATATATAACTAAGTCAGTATTTCAACAGAAGGATCTAACACATTGTACATTGTCTACGAATATTTTTCTCAGTTATATTCATTATGGATCCGGGACCGATACGCGCCGATGTTGTGACCCTCCAGGCGAGTCACTGTTCAGACCATATTGGCTCAGGACAGGTAAAATATCTTTTGTATATATATTCATTAGCATTGGCACTAATTTTAATTTTTCTCACTATACTTAATCAATTCTATTTGACGTGCAGCTAGTACCAGACATCACCATGGTCAAACATTCCCAGAGTCATTCAGCTTAGGTCATTGAGGATGAGAGAGTACTACAGCCTGTTGCTCAAGCTGGGTTCCGGGAGTGTTCGAAAGTACGATATATTAGGCTTGATTGGCCGATTATCACTGTATTGATTGATAGGTGGAGGCCAGAGACCAACACCTTTCTCATGCATATAGGAGAGTGTACTATCACCTTACATGACGTAGCCGTCATACTTGGGCTCCGCATCGATGGTCTGGCAGTTACGGGCACCGATGACCATAATTGGTTTGAGGTATGTGCTAGGCTTCTTGGTCAGGTACCCGACTTGCGGAGTGGTGCGATGAAGCTATCGTGGCTTCGTCAGACATTTCAGGGAGATATACCAGCAGATGCCTCCATTGAGACGCTTCTGTTTCATGCTCATGCGTACATATTACACATGATAGGGTGCATGCTATTTCCTAATGCGAGCAAGACTCTTGTACATGCACGATGGCTACCATTGATTGAGGATTTTAGTGTCTGCGGTGGACGATCATGGGGCACTGCGGTGTTGGCATACTTGTACAGAGAACTGGGTAGAGTATCCTTAATGCAGAATAAAGAATTCAAGGGATGCTGCACTTTGATCCAGATTTGGTCATGGGAGCGCATTCATGTTGGCAGACCGACTTTACTTGTGCACCGTGACTTACAAGGACAGTTTCCACTGGCATACAGGTATAATTGTCCACACATTTTTATTCAACTGAATTTGAACTGATATATTCTTTATGCAAAATAGGTATAACGTGCGGTACGCTAACTACAAATCCACGACGCGACACCGGGCGTTTTATCGAAATGAGCTTGATGGCCTCCAACACGAATAGTTAAATATAAAACTCGATTCGTTACGAATATTATAGTTTTGTTGTTGATACTGATAAATGTTTTACCTTATTTCAGTTCAGATGGACACCCTATTCACCGTCGGTGCTCGACATGCATACACTTGCATCTATCTGCCTAGACTCACCTGACTTGTGGACAGCAAGAGTTCCCTTGATTTGTTGGGAGATCGTGGAGATGCATGTTTTTGATCGTGTACTACGGCAATTTCTGATGGACCATCATGTGCCAGAGCCTGTCTAGGCGATCGATCGTCGGCGTCGACTTACTTCGCACCGTACTGACTGGGCTATAGTCCGTGCGGCATACATAGACAGGTGGACTCGACGGTGGGATTTCATACAGGAGACGAGAGCCAATGCTGTTGACTATACCGCGTATATGCGTTGGTATTAGGATATCACACGTTGGTGGATCACACGTGACCCACAGCCATCAGCTGGACACATGCTTTAGAGACTATGTACGTTTCTAATCATCTCAATATCACTAGTGGGATGATTGAGAGAGACTATGTACGTTTCTAAGCTAAATTATAACATTTTTTATTGAGATGGTGCTTAATAAATTGTTTACCTCGCAGGTCCGTGCTTTTGATAGCATTGAAGCTGATATTGATGCGCATATGCCCGAGATTCAGGATTCAGTGGCGTGTCCTTGGAAGCTTAATTCACGTTCAGGTGTAAGAGTAGGTGGGCAGAGAATCTGAGCTTATTTCGTTAAATTTTCTAACTTTTATGAATTTTCAAATACTATACTTTTGTGGATTTGATATTGCTTATATATGTACTATTTGTGAGTATTGTTTGATTCGTGCTCCATTTTGCATTTTGGTTGAATTATGTATATAGTGTTGAGATTCAGTGTATATGAGCTCAATTATTGTTAACAGGCTCTTTGTGAGTATTGTTTGATTCATGCTCCATTTCGGTTGAATTATTGATTCATATTGTTGTAATTCATTGTATATGAGATCAATTATTGTTAACAGGAAAATATAAACTTGTATCAATGTAGAATTGTGTACACAGTCACAATTCCAGCTCTTTTCAGGTTTCTGGAAATGAGCCTGTAACTCCACGGGAGTTCAACTCCCGTGGAGTTTTTGCTCTCCCAACAGACTTCACGGGAGTTGAACTCCCGTGAAGTTTGTCCAACTTAAAAAATTTCACGGGAGTTCAACTCCCGTGAAGTTTAAAAATATGCTAAACTTCACGGGAGTTGAACTCCCATGAAGTTTTGGATAAAAATTTTCAAAAACCGACATGGTTTCAGCGCCAAGGCTGAAACTAGGTCGGTTTTTGAATTTTTTTTTAAAACGGGTCGTTTTTTACAAATAAAAGTGTAAAGGGGTAGATTTTGAAAATTCCTCCTTTATTAATATAAAGAACCTTTTCATATCAGGCAAGGATCTCTAGGCAATAGAGTGGCTAAAAAGTTTGGTGGATAGCTTTTTGCTATCCACTTAAGTTGACACAAGAATTGCTCTCCTATAATAAAGAAAATTAAAAGCTTTCTTGAAATAAAAACCTTAAAAAATATTTAGACTTTTATAGGAATATTAAATTATGGAAGAAAATATTTTTAAAATTTATCCAAATTAATTGATTCATTAATTTAAAAAATAAATAAAATAACAAAAAATATATATATAGAAAAGAAATGATAGACCTATATCCAGATAGGAATATTAAATTATGGAAGAAAATATTTTTAAAATTTATCCAAATTAATTGATCCATTAATTAAAAAAATAAATAAAATAATAAAAAAATAGAAAAGAAATGATAGACCTATATCCAGATAGGATACAGACAAGATAAGTATAGAGTTAACAGAATTATAAAAGAATACAGTAAATAGAATAAAGCAGCTAGTGTTAAATATCCGAATAAAGCAGCTAGTGTTAAATATCCCTAAGGTTGCAATACCTAAACCTAAAGATGATTTGCATGTTTTTACTGATGCCCCAAATTTCAATCTTGAATCACAGATAAGGACAACTCAATTTTTATGAAGAATCATAGGCCTTTTGTTACATAGTAACATAAACAAGATAAAACTAAGTACTAGCAGAGTAAGGAAAAATACGGACACATGGATTTAATTAATGATTTCGAGAACTGTTATTATAAGACTAAACCCTACAAGCATCTAGAGCATATAGATACAAATAAAGACAAAATACCAACAGAACATATAACTAAAATATTAAATTATATATCAGATAATGACCTACAATTAAAAGAAAAACAGACTAGTTTAAATCTTTTAAATGAGTAGATGTTTGCAACATTACAACAAATAAATAAAAAATCAGAAGTAATTCAAGAGTTTGAGAATAGTAAATCAACAATTATAAAGAAAACAACCAAAAATAACAAATAAACCCAACAAAGAACCAACAGCTTTATAATGGTCAAATATGTTAAAAATAGATGAAAAGAAAAAAGAATATATAACCATAAGAAAATTAAATGAAGAATACTTAGAATCTAAATTACTAAAAGCACCCACAGATATTGAAACAATACAAGTTATTATAGAATCAGAAAATAATGAAAAAGAAAAGTTAGAAGAAATTAAAGAAAAATAGAAGACTTAAAGTATAAGTATGTAGAATCAACAGATGATAAATAAATTAATGAAATTTTATCCTTAAAAAGAAACATAAAAATTATTTAAGAAGTATATTTACATGGTAGAAAATAGTGATTCAGATGACACAAATTCAACTGTTAGTAGGATAAGACCGATCAAAATGATAACCAGACAAGAAGTATATAACCAAGCAAAAATAAATTGGATAGAAAGAATAAAAATGATAAAAGCTTTATATATATATATATATATATATATAAGTTAAAAGCTAGCATCGCAAATATTCAATTACATAAAAATTTGCAGCCTCACTCAACACAATGTCCTTTTACTGTTTTAAAGACGCAAAGATTCAATATACAAACTAGTACCCCGGGGGCTGAAATTTTATTCATCTAGACCTAGAACTTTAAAAGAGCTGGGAGAAACATCAGCTCCAATAAACTCTGCCATTAAAGAACAAGGAAAGATGACTGAAAAAGAAAACAAAACCAACAAGCACAACGCAAAATAACAAATAGGAAGAAGACAAAAAACCGAGGTTACAACCAAAGATTCCTGAAACATCTGTATACTTTACAACCATGCTTGTTGCGGCCTCCAGAAGTGATCATTTCCACGGTCTTTGTCATCGTGTGATTCCAGCAGTCACTGCGTCCAAACTTGTGATGAATAAAACAAGAAACAGACGGATGCATGACAGAGAGGATGGTAAAGCTTCCGGCTGAACGCTCTTAACTATTTTGAGCAACCTCTGCTGTAGCTTCCTCCTTAAAATCCTCGGTCTTAGCAGCAGCAGCAGCAGCAGCTAGGGTGGTGGTGGAGTTACCTTTATCTGCCTTTGAATCTGGAGTTTTCCCTTCATCCAGCCGTACCACCTCAGCAAAGGTCTTTGAAATTTGACTCATCACCTCCCCAGATTTTGGTGCCGAGTAGTTTAGCTCATCAATGGCAGCTGACAAGACAGGAAATGTAGGGTTGGATTGCCCATGCTGTTGTCTGGACTTCCTTTCCTGCATGGCTTTCTGCCTTTCCTCGTAGAAATCAAAGTCATCAAGAATTGACATATCAGCTTCATGTTTCTTGAAGATGCTCAACATCTCCAGACCCCGATCCAATTTCACCTGCAGATTTTCTGACAAAAATCAAATAAACACAAATACTAACGTGGTATGGCACACAGTGGCACAACCTAGCATCAAATGTGCAAACGGACAATTCATGACACAAGTGAAAATGGAACAAAGTTCAATTGCAAATTGAAATCTCCCAAGGCATCGCATTATACAGTGCATACTTTTGATGGAAAATTCCATGTATTTTGGATTAAGGAAGTCAAGTATGACGGAGTTGCCTATGGAATTGAACTAGAGATTTAGATGATGCCACAGGATTCGAGTTCTTAACATGTAGTTGGAAGCTTGGAAATTTTAACTGATGTCGTTTAGGTAACTTAGTAGCACACGAGTTCTTTGAGGGAAACCTAGAATTGGAATTCACATGTTTCATGATTTCAGTTCACTATAAAATCCTAAAATGAAATCAAGTTGTGTTTAGAACCAAAATTGCAAGAGAAAAAAATGGTACCGCGCTCAAGTCCTGTTATGGAAATTCCAGGTTTCTTAAAAAAAGGAAATCATAAAGAGTCTCAAACATAAGCTCCCTGGCTTTTCTACTAATTCAAAGGCTTATTTTGGATTTCTGTAATCTGATGTCATCTTGTAATATTTAAAGAGAGAATGTTTCCTATTTTTCAGAAAGATGGTCAATATATTCCTTTTCCTTTTATGAAGACTAGATACCATGCAAAGATTATCAAGTATAGCATGAGAGAGCACCAAAGAACATTGACAGAAGGACGTAGACATCTATATTGAAGACGATTTAAATCGACCAAGAGGTCAACAACTAGTAAAATGTATTGATAAATGTTGAAGAAAAAAGTAATAGGAGATATAGAAAATTTGAAATTCTACAGAATAACTTGTGGAAACTGATACGAGTCGCCGTGCGAGCACCTTTGATCGCGGAATTATCAAAGGTGGGTTGAGAAGAGGATAACAGAAACACAAGAATAATTCAGTATGTGGCGAAGGAAAATACCCTCTCTAGATTATGAGTATGAAAAGATTATAATCTCTCTCTCACAATCTCACTATAATCGAGAACAAACTCTCAAATCTCTCTAAACCCTAATCTCTCTTGATTAGAATCTCTCTTTGATTACATCTGATTGATTAGAAACCCTAAACAACCCCTTTTATAGGTGTAACAACGTGGGTGACGAAGTGGTAAGTAACCAAACCTAAACCCCACAAAAAAACGTGTAAACAAAAACCCAAATAAACCAGGAAACCCTCGATGATTGACTCATAAACATGCATGAGTCGACTCATGCCAAGTGAGTCGACTCATGATGAGGTGAGTCGACTCGTCAAAAACTTTCGACAAAACGGCTGGGTTTCGTCAGTCGACTCATGACAGGCATGAGTCGACTCAACCTGATGAGTCGACTTATGTACATGTATGAGTCGACTCACGGGCTGAAAATTGGATGCTTCGATTCTTCGATTCGTCGTCTCGTTCCACGCTTCAACCTGCGTTCCACTGTGTTGTTTTACATCTCTATTCTTAAGTTACCATGAGAATCATCTATCCTCAAGCTCCCATGAGGATCGCTAAGTTCCGAAGAAAAGATACACCCGTATCATGGGTCCCCCTTTAGGAACTTGAAGTCTCATTCAAGTTAGAATTTCAGCTGAGGAAACTCACGAGCTCCTCCATCCTTTCTGTACCACCTGGCTTTACTAGGAACCTGATATCGACGTACAACTAGAAACGACTCATTCGTTCCTCACCTCATCGTAGTCGTCTTCCGCTCCAACATGTAACTCCACAGCAAGACGAACTTCTTGCTTGCATTCACTAGCCTCTTCGCTCGCGTCACCGTCGTCAAATCTGCCTTCCTCGGAAGAGACGCCGAACGAAATATGAATTTTTCACCATCCTTGGTGAATGTGTACTTCTGAGCCCGCCTTTCGTAGATCGTGTATCCATCCCACAAGTACGGATTACCCAGTATAATCTGACAAATATCCAATGGAACGACGTCGCACGCGACCTCGTCAATATACGACTCGTGGAGCGCAAATCTGACAGTGCATTGATCAACTACACTTAGTCCCGTCTCCTTCTGAATCCACCCCAATGGATAGGGTTTCGAATGCTTGACTGTCTTCAGATCCAGCTTCAGAACCAAGGTCTCGAATATCAAATTCTTTTCGCTGTCTGGATCAACAATGGTATCAATCGAACTGGTCTTCACTTGCAACTTCAGCACAAAGAGCTGCTCTCGGAGGTCTTCGTCCTCTTTCGTGACATGTTTCTCCGCCATAAGATTGAGACTGCTATTGGGCTCTGTCATCCCGGGAACTTCCTTCGAACCCTGTGCTATCACGTATGCCTTTTTCTCCTCTTTCTTCTTCAACCCCATTGGCTTGAGATGAGGATATTTCTCCCAGCATCGATTAGCGATATGTCCTGTCTTTTCGCAGTGACTACAAATCAGTTCTGCTTTTCCTGGATCACTCTTCTTCTCCTCCTTAGGTTTGGAACCACCAGACTCACCTCCTGCTTGTTTTGCATCTCTCTTCGTCTCGTTGCTCTTCTTCTGTTTGCCCTCGATGGCAATAGCCTTCACGCTTGCCTCTGCAATAGACTCGACCGTGAATAACTTCATCTCTTTTCGGATGTATTCGTTCGGACCCACCATGTACTTCATGAAGATGGAGTATTCGTTCGTCGCGATGTTTAGAATCATCGCCTGCCGCTGGAACTCCGTCGTGTACTCTTGAATGGTCTGATTGAATCTTGGGCGCAAGCCGTACCACTTATACCAACGTTCCTCAAGGAACCCCACTGGATAGAACTACTTTCTCAGTAGTTCCTCAAACTTGTTCCACGACACCGTCTTTTTCTCCTGCTTACAGTAGGATTTCCACCACGTTAACGCGTGCCCTGAAAGCTTCAAAGTCGCGAACATAATCTTCTCCTTGGATGAATATCCATAGAGAGTGAAATACATCTCCATGCGCTCGATCCAATCATCGACCTTCTCCACATTGACACTCCCATCATAAAGATTCGTCGTCTCGTTCCACGCTTCAACCTGCGTTCCACTGTGTTGTTTTACATCTCTATTCTTAAGTTACCATGAGAATCATCTATCCTCAAGCTCCCATGAGGATCGCTAAGTTCCGAAGAAAAGATACACCCGTATCATGGGTCCCCCTTTAGGAACTTGAAGTCTCATTCAAGTTAGAATTTCAGCTGAGGAAACTCACGAGCTCCTCCATCCTTTCTGTACCACCTGGCTTTACTAGGAACCTGATATCGACGTACAACTAGAAACGACTCATTCGTTCCTCACCTCATCGTAGTCGTCTTCCGCTCCAACATGTAACTCCACAGCAAGACGAACTTCTTGCTTGCATTCACTAGCCTCTTCGCTCGCGTCACCGTCGTCAAATCTGCCTTCCTCGGAAGAGACGCCGAACGAAATATGAATTTTTCACCATCCTTGGTGAATGTGTACTTCTGAGCCCGCCTTTCGTAGATCGTGTATCCATCCCACAAGTACGGATTACCCAGTATAATCTGACAAATATCCAATGGAACGACGTCGCACGCGACCTCGTCAATATACGACTCGTGGAGCGCAAATCTGACAGTGCATTGATCAACTACACTTAGTCCCGTCTCCTTCTGAATCCACCCCAATGGATAGGGTTTCGAATGCTTGACTGTCTTCAGATCCAGCTTCAGAACCAAGGTCTCGAATATCAAATTCTTTTCGCTGTCTGGATCAACAATGGTATCAATCGAACTGGTCTTCACTTGCAACTTCAGCACAAAGAGCTGCTCTCGGAGGTCTTCGTCCTCTTTCGTGACATGTTTCTCCGCCATAAGATTGAGACTGCTATTGGGCTCTGTCATCCCGGGAACTTCCTTCGAACCCTGTGCTATCACGTATGCCTTTTTCTCCTCTTTCTTCTTCAACCCCATTGGCTTGAGATGAGGATATTTCTCCCAGCATCGATTAGCGATATGTCCTGTCTTTTCGCAGTGACTACAAATCAGTTCTGCTTTTCCTGGATCACTCTTCTTCTCCTCCTTAGGTTTGGAACCACCAGACTCACCTCCTGCTTGTTTTGCATCTCTCTTCGTCTCGTTGCTCTTCTTCTGTTTGCCCTCGATGGCAATAGCCTTCACGCTTGCCTCTGCAATAGACTCGACCGTGAATAACTTCATCTCTTTTCGGATGTATTCGTTCGGACCCACCATGTACTTCATGAAGATGGAGTATTCGTTCGTCGCGATGTTTAGAATCATCGCCTGCCGCTGGAACTCCGTCGTGTACTCTTGAATGGTCTGATTGAATCTTGGGCGCAAGCCGTACCACTTATACCAACGTTCCTCAAGGAACCCCACTGGATAGAACTACTTTCTCAGTAGTTCCTCAAACTTGTTCCACGACACCGTCTTTTTCTCCTGCTTACAGTAGGATTTCCACCACGTTAACGCGTGCCCTGAAAGCTTCAAAGTCGCGAACATAATCTTCTCCTTGGATGAATATCCATAGAGAGTGAAATACATCTCCATGCGCTCGATCCAATCATCGACCTTCTCCACATTGACACTCCCATCATAAACAGGAATCTCCACCTTGAAATTAATTTTTAAGTTCTAGTAGTAATTCTTACCCCCTTGATGTGGAGCAGTCTTAACAATCTCGGCCTCCTCATCAGAACCAGTACCCCCTTGATGTGGAGCAGTCTTAACAATCTCGGCCTCCTCATCAGAACCAGTTTTCTCGCCCTCTCCATCGGACTCTTCCAATCTCGGCCTCCTCATCAGAACCAGTTTTCTCGCCCTCTCCATCGGACTCTTCGAGCTTCTTCTTACCTTTCGAAGAAAATTCCTCCTTTTTATCCTTTCCATTGATGAGACCTACGAGCTGATTGAGTGTAGAACCGATCGTCTCGATCTGCTTCTCTATTGTATCAAGTCTTGCTGAATTATCCCCTTCGGTCATCTTCTTCTTAATTTCTGGACTCCTTCCAATGAAATAAGGATCTCGCCTAGTTTCTTGTATTGCGATCGAGTCAGGATCATACACAGGATGCCTCTTCACAGGATCTGATCGTTCTGATACCAACTTGATACGAGTCGCCGTGCGAGCACCTTTGATCGTGAAAATATCAAATGTGGGTTGAGAAGAGGATGACAGAAACACAAGAATAATTCAGTATGTGGCGAAGGAAAATACCCTCTAGATTATGAGTATGAAAAGATTACAATCCCTCTCTCACAATCTCACTAAAATTGAGAACAAACTCTTAATTCTCTCTAAACCCTAATCTCTCTTGATTAGAATCTCTCTTTGATTACATCTGATTGATTAGAAACCCTAAACAATCCCTTTTATAGGTGTAATAACGTGGATGACAGAGTGGTAAGTAACCAAGCCTAAACCCCACATGAAAATATGTAAACAGAAACCCAAACAAACTAGGAAACCCTCGATGAGTCGACTCATAAACATGCATGAGTCGACTCATGACAGGCATGAGTCGACTCAACCTGATGATTCGACTCATGTACATGTATGATGTATGAGTCGACTCACGGGCTGAAAACTGGATGCTTCGATTCTTCGATTCGTCATCTCGTTCCACGCTTCAACCTGCGTTCCACTGTGTTGTTTTACACCTCTATTCTCAAGTTACCATGAGAATCATCTATCCTCAAAGCTCCAATGAGGATCGCTAAGTTCCGAAAAAAAGATACACCCGTATCAGAAACAATATAATGAGAGAATCTAAAAGGGTGTGTTCGGCAACTCCACAAAACTTGCTTCACGTGGTACAACATTGGTCCAAAACCTTCTTGTTTAGTTTGGCAAAAAATTGAGTTCAAATTGAACTAGTTCTTCCTAGTTCAAAATCTTACTCCTGAACTAGTTCTTTAGTGAACCAAACCCTCATAAGGTTCAACTTTGGCCTAGCTAAGAGAGGGGAAAAACTAGTCTAGCCTAGTTCAATTTTGAATTTGCCAAACACACCCTAAAGATAATGAATCACCAACTGAAGGGAGTTAGCAAGAAGTAGGGATTAAGCTAATTCCATCCAAGAGGTGGAAGCATAAACCGAGGGTCTCCTCCAAAAGCAGTGTTTTTATCTATAAATATTTTCATAATGTAATCCCATCCTTTAACTCCCACGCACTGACGCTTGCAAATTTTTTTAACCAAACAAGTCCCTAATGGACCAGTGACGAATAAGACAGTCCAATAGGCAATCAGACAACTAGGAAATCCTACAGAAACTACCAAAAGTGTAGAAATGATGGGGAACAAACTCCCCAAAGAAAAAATTAACAAAAAAAGAAAGTACATGAGGCTTACCAGAAAGCTTATCATAATTTACAAACCAACGTTCAAACTACGCAAAGGACTTGAGGTTCCTAACCCTATTCAGTAATGAGAGGTTTTTTTAGCCCTGTCATGTAATCTAACCCTTTATGGAGAAGGTCCAAATCTAGCTGACTGAAAATTTAAAATATTTATTGAACATAAATACCAGTTTATTACCCAAGTTCAAAACTTTAAATACCTCAATTATGACTTCACTTATTTATTTGTGAATTAACTGTTATGATAAGTAGTACATTTCAAATAAACAATTTATAAAAAAAATTTAAAGCAACTTCAAGGGGGAGCTAAGAAAGCAAAGGAGTGCTGAAAGTAGAATATGAGAGTCTTAATGCCATTTGAAATTGAGTCATTTCAGTCTTTCAGTAACATGTTAATTAGTTTTTCATTCAGCACTCAACATAAGGTCAATGTTTTCTAGAATGAAAATCTAAAGGAATAAGCCCAGTATGAAACATTAAACGTGATGAGGATTGAGGAAAAAAATCTCACCTCTTGGGTGTCTCTGCTGTTGGTTACGGGCTTGTTGTCATTGTTTTCTAGAATGATATGACGAAACAAACTGTTAGGAGCATCTTTAATGATATGCCACTTGACAGGAAACTGGCCACTCCACTTGTCCTGTTGCCAGAAATCCACATTCTTCTCAAAGTTAACAGGTCCAATCATCTCAGCCACTCCACAGAATTGCGCACTGGCATTAACCTGCAAATACCGGTCAAAACAAGAAAAATGACTTGCAACTGAACAAAAACACTGGCCAAAATTAAAGATGAAATAGAAAGGAAAATAAGAGGAATGTAGAACAGTTTTTGTGAATCCAAACTACAGATTTAAAATAGGAAAGAAGTCTGCGATTACAGAAAATAAACTAAGCAGGTCATCAACTGTCTGCTTCTTGTGATTTGAAGGTCATAATGTGACAGAAATATGAAGTTACCGAGAAAAAGAGGAAAACTGGGCAGGAGTGTCCTTTTTCTTTTGCTTCATGATAAGCAGAATCTAACTTTCTGTTCCCATTAGCAGTGCTCGCCCAAACACCATACTTGATACTCTTATGAACATTATCCTCACTATAAGATTTGATAATAAAAAACTTGGCATCGGTGTAGTCAGTAGAAAAGTCTGGACTATTATATAACTCACTGACAGGCCGTGCATGAGAATTGCCACTCTTACTGTCATCTGGAAAGCTGTGTTCCATGATCAATTTTTTCGGCCTAGTGGCCCGCGGTCCTCGGTTTTGCTCATTGAGAAAATCAAGAGCACCATTACAGTTACATAAGGAGGCACCCCCTTTTCCTCTCCTTCTTCCTTTATCGACTGCGAGAAAGCTATGCCCATTAGTTCCTAAGCTGTGAATAGATCCTCCATAATTACTTCCCTGATGATACACCCCACCATGAAAGTACCCTCCATCATATGAGCCGAGTGATGATCCAAAACCATACATAGGTTTTTGGTCTTGAGAGACCTGAACAGTGTCATGCGTAGATTAGGCATGTTAGATAAAGAGTCTAGCTAACATGATCATTCCAGGCTAACACAAAAATAGAAATTAATTTTACTATTTAGATCAATATAAAAAAGCATAATAACTAGGACCTCATAGGCTTGTTTGTTTGCGAGTCTTACTCCTTTTTTATCTTTTCGGGAGGGGTTCCTTTCCTTTTTTCTTTGTTTCCTTTTTTCTTTTCTTTTTAGTGGGGTGGGGTTCATATTAATTAGGGGAATGGACAACCCAGATTAAATAGCAGTCCGCTTAGAATGGATGACCCACCAGTACTAGTTACGCAAGGGTACCTTCTTAATATCTGAAATGTTTGAAATGTGAAAGAGTAAGTGTTGGAAGCAAATGATATCCACAGAGAACTGAAACTCAGACTTTGATTCACAGAAAGCAGTAAAAGTACCAGTTGGCACCTCTACATAAACACCCGCATGCTTATAAGTTATAACCGATGATTTGGTCTAATAGTGTATTTGCCATATGAGTTAAGTGATCAAGAACATCTTAACTATAGTAAGAAGAAGAATGTAAACAAAGTTAAACAACTTTCAGAATTTCTCATCTTAATTAGCTTTATTTTAGCTGTACTTTCCTTTTTTCCTTTCTTTTTTCTTCGTATTGTCTATAAATATCAAAGAAATGGCTCATACAAGAAATGAAGCAGCAGACATTTTCATCAGTTGCAGCAGACATTTTCATCGGTTTAGCTAATTGCATGAGAAGTTTCAATTACGCTGGGTGACCATTTCAGCAAGCACATATACCTAGCCTAATGTAAATCATGGACAGAATAAGAAGTGAATACAAACATACTAACATCTTGGATGGTTATTACTTTAGGTTGTATTAGTTACATAAGGATTGCAGATAAGAAGCTATACCATCCCAGAAGATAAAGGTCCAATGCCCTGTCCAAATGATCGAAATCCACCAACAGGTTGTGGCGAAGCTGCTGGCGAAGGCATTGGATTCAAGGATCCTGCCCCATCTGGAGAATTCAACCAATCTGACCAAAACCCATTATTTCCAAAACCATCAAACCCTTGTCGCAAATCATATAAAGCAGGGTTACCAGAACTCCCACCAAAATTTTCCGTGCCAAAAGGACTATATGGAAGAGAATAGTCTGGTCCTGGCCCAAACAGCATGCCATGGGAATTTGAACTATCACCAAGAAATGCACCTTGCTCAACTGGCATAGTCACATCAGGTTGTGACATTGGAGTTGCCGACGTAAGATAGGACATGCTAGGAGGAGGTGTTTGCTGGTAATAAGGGCCAGGGAATGGGAATTGCTGAGAGTAAAGCTGGTTATCTCTGCTGCCAGAAGGAAGAGGAGTTGTCACTGGAGAATATGGTCCATAAGGTGGTAACTGAGGACTGTATCCATAACCAGTGTGGAACATCACAGAGGGATTCTCATTGTAAACACCCTTCATATGAACAAAAACATTTCCTAACACATAAATTAAAAAAAAGGTTATAAAAAAGAGAATAGATGGAGTAATACTTACTGTAGAGCCAGCTTCAATGCTTTCAACATTGATATAACGAGAATAATCCTCCCATTCACCAGTAGCATTCTCATATCCTGCAATTTTTTTAAAAAAAAAACAGAAAGAAAGAAAGCAAGTTTAAAACTTACATATTACATTCAAAATTCAGAAATAGAAGACATTAAGGTGTTAACTACACAAAGAACAAGGATAACCAAAATCAAAAAGGACAACAAATTAGCAGCAAAAGGTCCTCCTGGAGGCAGTATAACCTCAACAGTTTCAGGTTATTTCTCACTATGAACTGGCATCGACTTCGCCAAAGAATGCCACTACACTTGCTCTATGATCTGATATATCTGAAACATTGCATTTGTTTTCCAGTGAAAATACAATCTCTACTACTATTTGAAAAGATGTCACATTTGCGAAATGACTCCATTAGATCAAAACACCCATAACTTAACAATCAGCAGCGATGCTGAAAAGAATGAGAGCATATAACATAACACTCGGCTTTCTCGATAGCTTTATAATATATATATATTAATATATATATATATATATATATATTATATATATATATATATATATATTATATATATAATATTATATATATATATATATATATATAATATATATATATATATATATATATAGTATATATATATATATCATACATTGATGAAAATATGAAAAAACTTGTGGTACCAAGTATGCTGTCCAAGCAACTTGGTAGGTGATGTGGGCGCGTAATCCGTTCGCTACATCTACATTGGAGCTGTGCGTGAAAAGTGGTTGAGACTCGTAATCTTCGAGGTGTGATGTACGAGGGCCAAATTAGCACCACATCACTACCAAGTTGCTGAAGTAACTTTGGTACCAAGGTCCTCCCATCTCTACCTCTTCGTCTCTCTCTGCTCTCTATCTATTATAATATAATATATATATATATATATATATATATATATATAATATTAATATATATATATATATATATATATAATATATATATATAAGAAATACATACCAGTAGGACCATGATTTCAGAAAAATCTATTACAAGATATACTAATTTACAAACAAGATGATAAAATGTTGAAAGATATCATCACAAATTCACATATCTGGTTCACAGCTTCAAGTGCACTTCATTCTTCAAATCACAAGTTCACAATCACAAGCATAATGATATCGTTAAATACCAATCACGCAATAAAGCCATCAAGGTTCAACAAACAATCCAAAAGCAAATACTTGTGCACTTCAAGACCTAAACATTAGAAACAAGGAAAATACTTGCAAGCCTCTAATACAAATTTATTGAAATTGCCTACGATATATTAAAAATGCATGTTATACTGAAATAGGAATGTTACATGCTATATTGTAAAAGGATAATAATGTAGAGTTACATCTATGCTATTTCAAAATGCTATGTCACATTTAAGGTTTGCTACATTACATATTGCGAAATAAGGTGTTACATAGCACTCGCAACATAGCACCTTGGTGCACAATGATCATAGACCATAGATCAAAAATTTTTAGGATTTGCTAGAATCTTTTTTATTTTAGTTATGTTTGATGAAATCTTTAATTTAAGCTAAAATTTTCATAGGATTTGATTTTAAGATTTCAAGTATCTCTGAGATTTTATTTGTTAGAGAGTTTTATTAAGTTTCCATTTGTTATGATTTTATTTTATTTTGTTTCATTTTATTATGCTTTGGTTAGGATTTGATTTAGTTTCCACATTTAGTTTTTCTCTTCTATAAATAAAATTATAATCGTTCATGAGGAAAAGGCTATTGATTAATGAAATGAAATTTCCTTGGACATGGCATGTCCATTGCTTAGTTTTGACAGTGAAGTCTCGAGATGCGAAGCCTAGTAAGTTATTTTAACCCTCTTCTTTTAAATCCTAGCCCTCCATCCAAAAACTAATTTAAAGTCAATCTTCCCTTCAAATAAAACCTAATCCTCAAGTTACCTTATTGTCAAATTTCCCAAGAAACATTAATTCGGGTATTGTTCATGGGTGATGCAGAACATAGGTTGCGCTCCAATCGAAAAGGAGGCGGCTTCCGACTGTGAGTCTTCCATACCTATCTAGATCCAATTGAAAAGTATGAGGATCTTAAAATTGCGGACTTTGGCGGCTAATCGAATTGGATCAGGATTTAAAAAGGAGCTTCTAGATTGTTAAGCTTTGGTTAACTATCCAGAGTTGTGTTCGGATATGATCTGGAGCTATACAAACTTCGATGGATACCGGACAGCCTCCTCGAAGCTTTGCCCGAGCATACGAATCATCGACGACTTGAGGGGATGAGATCCAACTTTTTTTGAAGAAAGTGATCTCTCTGGCGCACAAGAAAGGTTTCACTCAATGGAGTCGGAGATCGGAGACATCAGAAATGGAAAAGGAAGAGAGAGCCTGAGCAGTACCATAGTTATTAACTTCATTTACTCATTTGTGATAGTCACTTCAATTATTGTTCATTTGTTTAACAATAACTTTGGTTATTGTTCTTTCATGAACGGTATCTTTGATGGGAGGATTACAATTCTAATAGCCCTTTGGATGGAGGGTTAAGATTTGGAAGAAGAGGATTTACATAACTAAGTAACTAACTAGGCATCACAGTTAAGGTATTTACACGCAATGACTTTGCATCCTAACACTTCACATGTCAAAATTAGCAACTCACATGTGATATCTCAGGAACTTTTCTTTCATTAATCAATAGTCTATTTCTGATAAAGATTATAATTTTATTCATAGAAGAGAAAAATAAAATCTGGAAACTAAATCAAATCCTCACTAAATCCTAATATATTAAAAAATTCCTAACAAAAGAAAACTAAATAAAATCTCTAACAAAAAAACCCTTAGAGATACTTAAAATCCTAAAATCAAATCCTCAGAAAATCTTACCAAAAATTAAAGATTTCATCAAATATTACTAAAATAAAAAATATTCTAGTAAATCCTAAAATCTTCAGATTGACAGTCCATGATCATCTTGCATCAAATCGCTCCTTGTTAGAGAAAAGTAGGCATCAAGTTTTGTAATTATATAGTATGATGATTCATTTGACTAGTGGAATGTCCCATCATGGATTGCAGGATATTCAATATGAGCTGCAAAACCAGATATTGAATTGATTGTAGAAACATTGAAATAACAAACTCAATAATATGATTAGTCTTGAACCGAGCGTTTGCATTGCATACCGATGTGATGTTCGCATTCTAGGTTTGACACCATTTTGGGCTATGAACTGAAATTGCGCTCAGCTCTTAAATCTACATTCGACTCTATTTTCGGCTTGAGATTATGTTCTTGTTCTCATTCAATTTTGAGTTCAAGTTCAGGCTTTTAATCAATTTTCTGCTCTAGTTGCTCCGACTCAAGTTGTGTCTCTCACTCAAGGTCGGGCTCTGAGTCTATCTTTTAATTTGTTTACTTCTTCTGGCAAACTCAAATCATGATGTTGTTTCTTGTTCGGAATTGACTTTGAATTTTGGTTCCATAAACACTACCCTATTAAGAATTTCTTGGGAAATTTAAGAGGAATGTGTTTAGAGAAATATTTTTTCTTTTTTTTTGTGAAGGGAAGGTTGAGATTAAAATAGTCTTTTAAATGGAGGGCTAGGATTTGAAAGAATAGGGTTTAGATAACTAACTAGGCTTCACACCAAAGGGTTTCACAATCCCAAAATTTCACATGCCAAACCTTAGCAATTCACATGCCGCATCCTTTCACAAATCAATAGTCTATTCCTCATAGGTGCTAACAATTTTATTCATAAAAGAGAAAAACTAAATTTGGAAACTAAATCAAACTTTAACCAAATCCTAATAAAAGGAAGCAAAACAAAAATAAAATCCTAACAAAAGAAAACTAAATAAAATATGTAATAAAATAAAATCTCATAACTACTTAAAATCCAAAAATTAAATTCTAAGAAAATCTTAGCTAGAATTTAAGATTTCTTCAAATATTATTCAAAGAGTGCTTCTAGAAGGACCCGAAAATGGGACAATTTTATCGGATAGTTGACATGACATTACCAATGTGGAATTACAGCTAGTTACAGTTAATCGTAATTAATAGAAGATGAAAGATATTTTTATCAGAGACAATCTCATTAGATCTCCAGCTTGCAATTTAGCAAATGAAACCCCCAATGCTTCCGACCAAACTCCCATACATCTCCATCACCTTCGTCAACATTGATGCCCTCGTGTCCTCCCTCATTGACAATGAAGCTTTTAGCTTTCTATTACCTACATAGATCATGCCGTCAATAGACCTTATCTCTTCTAGTTTCACCAAATTTCACTGCTGATGAAAGTTCCATCTTCTTCTATTAGAAGCAAGACAATCGGTTTCTCAAGTTGAATGAATTTAATTAAACCCATTCCAATGACCATTGCATCCAATCAAAAAACTCAATTTAGATTATGCATAGTCCCAATTGGACCCTATTAATTAGAATCATGTAGAAAATAAAAATAAACTTTCACTCGTTCATTTGTTCTCCATTTAGAAACAAATGAATGAAAATGAATTAGAAGAAAGCCGAAGATGAGAGGTTGGGGAAAAAAGAATGGAGATGACAAAATACAGAACAAAGGAGAAGAAAGAACTTCAAACAAATTCCGAAACTAACCCCAATTGCCTTTCTTATTTATCCAGCTTTGCAAGAGAAAAAAAAAATACACTTTTGAAAAAACTTGACACGTCACTGGTCCCATGGACCTATCCCAAATTTTGGGTTCAAAAAGTATTTTTCTTACTCAAATAAAAAAGCTTCTAGTAAATACTAAAATCTTCTGATTGATGGTTTACCTTTTTTTACATCACACCCTAATTAAGTATAAAAAATAACCAAAAAATTTATAAGATATTTATTTCCCAGAAACTGGAAAAAAATCATCTTACTAAATACACCATCACACCTATGACCGTGTTTGGATGGAGAACTTGTTTTATCCTGAGACTAATTTAACTATTATAATCCTCGGGTATAATAATCCAACAGACTATAATGAGTTAAATTTTTAATAATATGTTTGGTTTAAATTGTTATCACTATCTCTAATACCTATGTCATGTTTAAAAATTTGTTATTGTAAAGGGTATAGGATTAGAACATAACATTAAATGTCCACTGTGTCCACAAAGTTCTAACACGAATATGAAAACTAAAGGGATATATAAATGTCATTCATACCAATCATTATCACCACTCAGGTACAATAATTTTCGCCAACATTATTATAAAAATTGAACTTCACTAACATTGTCTAAGAAATCTTAACATAATTATCATAAAAAAGTGAACTCTGCTTACATTGCCTAAGAAAAGCCAACATTATCATAAAACAACGAACTCTGCCTAAGAAGCGCACGCTACCATAAAATTTGAATTCCATTTACATTTCCAAAAATCCAAACACTATTATAAAAGATGAATTCAACTAATCGAAGGTTAAAAAAGAACTCAATTGGCATTGTCATAGGGATGCTTATGCTTTCGACTTTTCGTAGTGTTTTTTGTTAAGGTTGTGGTATTATGTATTCCCATTTGACATTATTATAGGATGCTTGTGTTTTTTGAGTGATTTCCCGTGGGTTGTGGTGTTCTGATTTTCTTTTTTAGTTTTTTTAATTGTGCAGATGATAGTGAGAAAAGCGGAGAGAAATAATTAGAGAGGAAAATCCTATGTATATATAGGGAGATTAAGGGGCAAGGGTGTCCTGAGTCTAATCCCAATTATATAACAACACACA